ACCTGCCCTGGGACTCCACTGGTGCTCTCACCTCCTCCCTAGAAAAGACAGCCACCTGGGCAGCTACCCCCAGGCTGTGCTGGGAAGAACCCAGCACAGAGCAGCCAACAGTTCCTGCTGCAGCGATGCTATACCACAGCCACCTGGGCCCTGAGTGGTACACAGAGTTCAGGTCAGGAATGGAGGTGGGAAGGAGCAGCTCTGAACACACGAATCTGCCATCCACTCCTCCCAAGTGGACACCCCATAGGTTAAGCTGAATAAATAATTTCACTCATACTTCTCACTCAGGTCCTTTATCCACTTCCAGCAGGCACTCTGAGCATGTTCTGTAGGAGTCTTCACATATGAAAAAAAAAAAAAAGAGGGAAAAAAAAAAACAAAAACAAGCAACACAACGCTCCCTCCTGAGCTTAAAAAGGGAAGAGCTTTTCTTGGCCAGGACCATGCAAGTACATTTGAATGCAAAGTTAAACAACTCTTTAAAGATGGTGTCAAAATTTGAACGAGGAGAAAGACTAACTGGCTACATTCTTCATGAGTCTGCAATTTGTCCAATAATCTCCTGGTGAGAAGAAACACCAAAATACAAGCATTGCTAAAATCCGGCTGTTTTGTTTGTGAGTTCAGATCCTATCAGCTGTACATGAACAAAGATTAGCATCTTGAATTGCAGTCATATCTGAAGATTTTAAAGACTCATAAGAATGCAGACTACAGTGGGATAACTGGAAGATTGTCATTAACTGTCAGAATTTGAAAAATGGGCCTTTTCTGCAAATTTGACTCGCAACCCCAACAGAAGTAGGCCCACACTACTTTATTTAAAGTTAATTTACACTACAGTTTGAATAGCACCTGCCCTTGGGTATGTTCCAGAGGAACGTCTCCCTTTTCACAAAGCCAGGCTAACACCCATTGTAAAACTTCCAGAGGCACATTAGATGTCTGTTCTCCCCCCAGCAATTTCACCCTTAGAAGTAGAAGGAACGCTGCCAGTTACAGCCTGTGCTGAGGAAACATGAGTTATAATTTACCCTGGGAAAATTGCTGAACTGGGAGCTTCTGGTGTGGCATAGGTCTTGCCTTCGCAATCCAATGGTTCTTTTGATTCAGAGAGGCTTTGAAAGGGTGGTGATGAAAAACATAGCCTCACCCTTTGAATCAGCCAGCTGCCTGCTTTCCTTTGCACTTTTAAAATTTGTTTTATTAATTTGCCTGGGAGCAGAAAGAGATAATACTGACCCATATGGAGAAGATGCATTTTTGGACATATCAACAGAATATTATCTACTTCAGACTGAACAAGCAGCCAACAGAAAGAACCACCTTCATATAGCCTGAAGAATTTTATATCTGGAATCACCTTAAGAAAAAAAAAAAGCGCCTCTGTTAGCTCTTCCTGCCATATGAGAGGGACAAATCCTAAGAATCCAATAAAACTGTTTCTATGAAACGCTGTAATGCACTTGAGCTCTAAGCACTCTCTGGATGTTTCTTGCAGCAACAAATAATAAAATATTCTCAGTCTGAATTGTAATTTTGAAGACACTGTGTCCACTTAGTAATTATGAGACTAGACAATATAACAGACAGATAGCTTCATCTATAACCTCACAGTGGGAAAAAAAGACACAAAAGAGCTTTAAGACAATACCTTTGTAATTATCTAATTTACAATTAAGATGTCAACAAAATTGCAAGTTTGACAGTTAGAGTTCAAGCTAGTACAGAAATTGAAATACCATGGAAAACTGCAATGCTAAATTATACATCCTTCACTCCAGGAAGGATGAAATGAAACACTATAGCCAAAAAGAATCAGCCTTCAGGAGTCCTCTGTTGTCACAGGCTTTTCCTTCTCTCTATCATCCATTTCCCCTCCCAGTGCCGACCTAAGCAAAGCGGTGGTGCCACCTCAAAAAAAAAAAAAAAGGTTCTCTACCGAAAACCTGTCAGAGTGATAGAGACCAAGAGGGTGAAGGAAATGATAAAGACCAAACTTACTGAAACAACAGGCTTTTCAGAAGTCCTGGTTAATGCAGAGTGCAATAAGGAGAGTTTAGCCAGCTCTAAAATGATCCCATGCATTTCCAGGCCTGGCTAAAAGTTTCTCTCTTCTCTTGTAACTCTCATTAAAATTATCAGCCTACATATTTCATAATAAGCAGGAGAATGAAAAAGTCCAAGCACTATCATGAGAGAAATCGCCTTATTTATCATTAGCTATTTCAAAACGCACGTAGGTTACTTAATACCTTAGGACAGGCGGCATAACAGCACACAGGTGCTGGGAGAGGAATCAGGCTTATGTTGAAGGCACATACACAAAGTGACACAAGATGGTTGAGGTATCTCAGGAGCAATCCTAGCAAGCTACGGATGCACCACTGCATACAGGAGCTGAGTAAACAGCCCTCAGCCACCCAGATACTTTCCTACCCCTGCTCCATACCAAAACTCGGATGCTCTCTGGATCTTAAAGCCATCATAGGAGGAGGTATTGCTTTGAGGCAACTAGTGGAAAGGGGCTGAAGTCCTCAATTAAACTTAAAAGGCTTCATTAATGCAGTACTTTTTAGTTTGCTTCTACCCCTTTTCTATTTTGTTTTGTTTTTTGTTTTTTTTTTAAGTTTTCTTAAACATCGGAAAAACACTTAGGGATGAAAAGAGAAAAAGAATGGTATCCACACAACTGTGAGGTCAAGCAGTGACTTTTTTGCATGGCATGAAGGGCAGGATTTGAGAAGAGGAGAACACAGGATCCTGCTCTAGGAGAAGAGAAGCGTGCTTGGCAAGACGGCAAACATATGGCATAGGAACAAAGCATACTTTAGATTTGGTTCATTTGATTCCATTATGTGTAAAAGATACCTTTGGATCCAAGGCTAAGAAATACAATTCTGATTATTATTGTTTTCAGACCTGTAGGGATTCCTCCAAGTAGTCATAGTAGCTCATACGATAAAAACACTCATTTGCCAGCTAATTTTAGTGCATTTTGCCCACAAGGGTGGATTAACCACAAATCTATATAACCATGTGCTGTATGCACGCTGAAGCCACCACTGCTATCACCAACTTCATGAAGCAGCAGCTGACTAACTAGTTTTAGACAGAATGGTTTCTGTTAACTAGCTCAGCAAACTCACAATTTCATACTAAAAGACTTTGCTTGGTCTGACATGCAATAGACCACACACACATCCTCAGAATATCAGGAAAAGTGTCATATAATATTCATAAGCTTTGCATGGGCTGTTTCTGAGTCGAGTTTTGCACTTTGGTTATTACTAAACACATGAAGTGCCAGTGTTCGGACAACAAAATAACTGAATATGTCAAAAGAAGCATTAGAGACCATGTCTGTCACTCAGCAAAAAATATCTACCTTAACTTTCCCTAGCAATTTGCTTTTAACATTTCTAACATATAACATGAATTTCAAATTGACAAGCAAGAAATAAAGACACATTAGCAAACTCATGCTAAAGATACATATACCATGACATAGAAGCCAGCAGTATTTCTGTATTCTTCCAAACGACCAAATGAGGCAATTCTGAGACAGCTAGAAAGAAAAAGGGCAACAGGCAGCTTTACGAAGAAAATAAAAGCCAAGCTTATATTACACAAAGTTGCTTCGTTTTTAAAACAGAAGCTACATCAGACAACCTAAGGGCATGCACTGCCACTGGCAAGAACTGGATCAACCCCATGTGGAAAGAGTTCAGGTATGAAATTTCTCTTTTTGGTTGGTTATTCTGTAATAGTTCTTGGAGAAGCTGGCCATTGCCAAGAGGTTAGTTAGCATAATTTAACCACTGCTGAGGCAGTAAGCTTAAGTGAAACTGTCCTCATTCAAAACAACATCTGAAAAAATCTTTTATCTGCCTGGGGGGAAGACATCACCTAACAAGAGCCACAGAAATCAAATCCAGTGAGCATCTTGAGCGGTAATAACCAGTGGTACGAACTAGTAAGACCATGCTAACAAGGGGACACATCCTCTATAAACAGCTCAGGTCCAAAATTAACCATTCTGAACTACACCTGGCTTTTGCAACAGACAAAAAAAAATACTTCAGAGAAGGATCAAGCCACAAGGACTGGGCAGGACATATTTAGGAGAACAGTTTGAGTACATAATAATTACGTGCTTAGAAGACATGATAATTTAAGATCTGATACCATTTTTTCCACACAGAGGAATTCATTGACAGACCACTGCTTCAAAGGCACTTCCATATCAGACGCCAATTTGTCAGATTCCTCCTCTGCTGCCATCTGTCACACAGCAACAACACGCGTTATGTAGATACTGGGATACTGGTGGGAAGATTCAACATCTACTGCCACAGCACCAACATCCGCCTCAGATGTCACAGGCCAACATCTTAAAATAGGCATTACTTTCTCAGCAGCCCTCATACATCAAGATTTGTTTGATTTCCAAACAAATCTAACTGACTTAATATAGCGAAGTCAGTTTAACTTCCAAGGGGGAAAAAAAATGGATTAAAAAATATTTTCTACACAAAGTAGGCAGGAATGGAATCCTACCTCTACCTAAAACAAAACAACCAAAACCAAAACAAACAAAACCACAAAAAGAAAAAAGAAAAAAAAAAGAAAGAGCAAACCACACAACAAACAATGATTTTGAGACACTGTCCCTTATTTACCAAGGAGACACCACTGGAGGCTTTTCCCAGGCACACAGGGAACAAGACATTGCATGCTATGGAGAATGCTCAAATCAAATGCACCATGCAGCGGGCTCCCAACACTTAGGCTGTTCTTCACAAAAGTACTGCCTTACTGTGAATAAAAATAAAAACAAAACCACTGACTTCCAACAGACACCTGAGAAATGGAAGGAAGCATCACAGGAGGAATACTTAACAGCTCATGAAAGGACAGTCACACAGTAACACATCTCAAGGTGTTGAAAGAGCAGATCCAGATTAAATCTGGAGGATAACCCTCAAAGGACTTACTCTGGAAGTGGGCAGGCTTGGAGAAAAGGCCAGAAAGCCTAGGACCTGATGCGCTGCCCAACCTTTGTCCAGGAAGGTGGTACAGGACACCTGCAGCTCTGTCCCAAAATACTGGGCAGGAAAGCGGGGAGACTGCAGGGTCTCCAAGAGGCGAAAACAGAAGGCAATAGGGAAGCCAAGCGTGTGCTGGGAGTGGGAGAAGCAAGACAAAGCTTCCCTTGTTGGGGCAACAGTGCCCTGCCAGAAGAGAAAAGGGTAGGCTGGAGGAGGAGGCATTTAATTTGCAAGAGTGTGGAGAAGGGTGGTGAAACACAAAAAACATTCAATCTTTGCTTTGGTCTCTTTCACGGAACAAAAGTTTGCCTTCAGGAACAGCTGAATTGTAATGAGTAAGAGCACTTAGAGCAAACAGGAAAAGTTTCAGAAGACCTGTGATGAGCATGTAGCAGAGGGGGCAGAAATTAACTTCAACAATTCCTAAGTGATGGATTTGTCTCATGGCTATCATCTTAAATCCCATTATATACATACCCACGCTGAACACTTGATTTCTGCTGAGTGGTGCCCTGGAGCTGCAGAACTGAGGGGGATGAGTTAGGGGAAGGAGTGGAGTGGAAGGAGGGGATTTCTTTGTGTTTATCAGAAACACTAAATCTCAGGATTTCCATCCATGCTGCCTCGTAGAGGGAAGAGGGCTGCAGCCCAGGAGCCAACAAGCAGCAAGGGTATGTGTGTGCCTTACTCCACATATTTGAAAGCTGTGTGGAATGAGGTGTGGCAGTGGAATTCATAAATCCAGTCCTAGCTGGAAACAGTGGCGGGTTGCCAACCACGCCATAAAGGTCCTGTCATCTCAGCTCCAAGTAACGTCCTCAGGATCCCAATGTTTTCTCAGACTGAGGTGTGCCACAGCTGCAGAAAAGAGTTATAGTGCAGTCACAAAGTGCAATACCTACCCTATTCCCTTAAACAAAACCTCATAACCCACCTTACCATGATGAACCTCACAAAGGGTTCAATACCATTGTAGCTTCACCAAGAACAGCACTCCTGCCAACAGTAACGTCACCTGACCACAAGCCGGTCTGGACGTTTCCATGAAGCTGAAACAGAAGTAACTGGTGATGGGTACCCAGTAGCAAGGATGGAGGCCCACCGTGTGTGACCAAGACAACGCAAACTGCAAGTGATATCAGTGGGACTACAAACCCCAGAAGAAATCAGAATGCGTGCCTAAGCTGTTGAATTAGAAGAGATTCTCAAAACACAAAAAGGAAATGAAAGACAGACAAACTCTACTTCACAGATCAGAATCAATGATGACTACTATTTTTTATAAAGAGTCTAATAACACAGTACAAACAAATTCCTCTCTTCTGAATCCTGGCATCATTTGGTATCTTCAATTCAAAAAAACAACAAATCAAAACCCAAACAACTGCACGCCTTTTTTCTTCCTCCCCTTCTTCTCGCTCTTTTGCCATGCTGACGCTTGTTTGCATTATGTCTATTTTGAGCTAAATTAAGTAGGAGCAGCAGAGCTTTGATTCAGTAGTAGCAATAAATGGGGTTAGCCTGGCATTGATCTGTGTAAAGGGCCAAAGCTGGGACTGCCAGCAGCAAAACATGGTCAGTGAACTCTGCAGTGCAAGTGACCCTGCAGCTGAATTCTTAGCCCTGATTACAACAGAAATAGACTTGCTTTCCTGAACAAAGAGTATTTCAGACAGCAGATTAGCAAGCGAAAGTGCACTTATAACAGAGGATTGAGGAAATGGAACAAAAATAAGAACCACCACACGCTTCCGAGTATTTTAGATAGCTCCTAAACAGTGCAAAACAAATGCACACCTTGCTTTGCGTTTTAGTTACTCCAGCCAGCACTAGGCCTGAATACTAAGGAAGATACAGTTTATTGCGTATCAGCTGAACAGCTTCAGCAAGTAAGTAGGCAGCACAAAAGATGAGGAAAAGCCATGTTAAGGACAGCATACTGGAGAAGTCAGAACATCTGCCTAGCAATCCTACAGAAAGGGAAGTCATGCTAACTACAAGAGGCAAGACACCCGTCATAAATCATGCTTCAAATTCAGACAGCAAATTTATATACAACCAGAATTTCACAATCCTTAGGAACACAGATCAAATCTGCTAGCTCGCAGATGTCTGGGTGTCTGTACTGTTGTGCAATGCAAAAGAGGGAGAGAATATCAGTATGTCCAGTCTCCCAACTATGAGGTTTAATCAGTGCATTCACAATGCGGAACAAAGTGCCTTGTTTGAGCTGCAGACTCCCCAGTCTTAAGCCAACTAGGGTAGGTTCAGGTCCCTGGACAGGGATCCCATTTAGGTAGGTCAGGAAGCAGCAGAACTGACTGCTGCCCCATATGGACCCCAGCTCCTGCAGCAGACTGAGGAAAGTGGGGACTCACAGATCATCCCACTTCCTCTTCTAACCAACTTCTATTCCATGTTTCACCATGAATGCTCATTAACACAAGCATTTCCTTAGAACAAGCACTACAAAATACTGAGTCTAATCCACTGCCTGCCCACAGCAGGAGGTTGGAATTGGATGATCTTTAAGGTCATTTCCAACTGAAGCCATTCTGTAATTCTATGAAATCCTTATGAAAGCCCATAAAAGCTTTCATCTCATTTCTCCCAGAAAATCCCTCTATGGATTTCTGTTGCTTGATTTAAGTAGCAAGGTGGGGGGCATGGAGGAAAGAGAGGGTGGTTCTAAGAATCTGCTGGTGCACTGACAGTCTGAATAAAAAAACAAGGCAGAAATCCGTCAGATTGTGCTCTGTGTTTTAAATGCCACTCTTCTGCCTTGCTGCTCTTTATGGGCTGACTGCAGCCTTTGCTGGGGTTTGTGGCAGCTGCAGTGCCCGAGCACAGGACATGCGGTTGTCACAATGACTGGGAACTTGCTGACTGATTTATGGGAACTTACAAAACCACAAAACCAGAAGATATTTGTATTCACTCATATCCTGAGTGCTCCTTTCACCTCTCATTGAACAGCTCCCATGCAAGTCAGTGAAAGTTTCTGTATAGTTCAAAAGTCACTCTCGGCAGACTTAAAGCATCACACCGCAGTGCCCAGACCAAGCAGCTTGAGGCCAGCGTGCCCACACTCGTAACAGCAACTCCAAATTAAGCCATCATCTTAACTTGGTAATGGTTATTGAGACATCTCAAATGGATCGTCTCATTATTAAAAAAAAGGCAATTACGGTAAATTAGACTTCTCACCAGAACAACAGCCTAAGCTTTAAATTTGCTACGATACATGCCTGACCACCCTTTTTAAATGAGGATAGCTGAGGGCTCCGACTCACCATCACTCAGCAAACAGCTGTGCAATTTGGGACGGCTCCTTCTCACCGCTCCTCTCCCTGGGGTCACTGCCCTGGGGCAGTGCCGGCAGAGCTGACCACGTGCCCGTGCCTCGTGCATGCCCCGTCACCAGCTGGGCAGCCCAGTGCCCATCCCCAGCGACAAGGGCAGCCCCATAAAATCCGCTGACCAGGGCTTGGTGCAGCTGCTGAAGCCCAGGTACGTTCTGCTGACTCTGCAAGGGAGCAAAAGCCTTCTGCAAAGGAGGGCAGCCGAGGGCAGCAGCATCAAGCTAAGATTTGCCAGGGCTTGCCTGCCAGAGGACAGAGTCTGGAGTTTTAACCATTTTTGGCACATTCCACATTCAGTATTTTCAGAAGCTTTCGAGGATGTTTATGAAACAACTGCAAGGTAGGCAACTAAATTCACAGCGGTACAAAGAATTCCTTCCCACATTCCTCTCCCATGCTCTACAGTCGAAATAAATGAAGATGTAGTTTATGTTTCTGTAATTACAGTTTGTTAAAAGCAGAACAGGTTGTTAAGTTATGGTAAGGAGCCCAGGAGCTCATACCCTGCTTTGAATGCCGCAGCGGTGTAGATTTTGCTGAATAAAAAAGGCTGGCCAAAACCAGAGGGAATTTGCGCTCTGGTATTGTTCAGCATAAACCAATTTACCTTTAAAGCAATCATGTTAACCAAAGCGATCAATTAGAAAACGATCTTATGAGAGCAATGTCAATGCACAGCACACTGCCAAGTTTCAGTTATTTAATACCAAATACCACAAGGGTAATACTGCTCGCTTGTTTTATGACGTTGTCGTACAATCCATCTTCTGCCGTTTGCTTTTAATCCTGCTTTTCCCCCATTAAATACTTACAGTATTTATACAGCCTTGTAAAACTCCAGTACAAAAGAATAAGCAACAAGAACTTTCCCCCATACATTACTTCCCAACTTAATTATGTAATGCAATGTGAAAGGTTTATGTACACCAGCTGGATCTCATTACAGCTCCGTTTCTTTCTTTTCAAAGTGCACTTTATCTGGAATACTGAAGTCACTAAGAATTTCACTTAAATATGTTGAACTGGTGCACACAGTGCTGCAGGACGCCAACTCATTAAACAGGCTCACAGCAAGTCAGGCATGTGGACGCTTATTTTGGAATTTTAAAATGCACCAGGTACAGGTAAATATTTGAAGCTAAGTCAGGATTAAGTGATTCAGCCTCATTCAACCTTCCCTTCCTCAGCATCACAGCAGGCTGAGGAACGCTCTGCCATGTACAAGAGGAATCAGGAAAGTCAGAAAGGAAAAGTTTCAGGAGACCATTGGTATCACACTCTTACTAAGAGTCAGGCAGGTGCCAGCCCTATAAACTGAACAAATGCCTCAAACAAGCAGAATTTCAGTGCTGTGAAGAATGTGTCGTAAGACCATCAATGAGGTTGCTAAATGCCAAGCTGAACCCAGGTAAGCTTGTTGTGTACTTCAGGAACCTTCACAGAATGGTTTGGGTTGGGAGGGACCTCAAAGCCCACCCAGTTCTGCCCTGTGCTGTGAGCAGGGTTGCCATCCAGCAGCTCAGCAGCCCATAGACCCATCCAACCTGGCCTTGAGTGCCTCCAGGGATGGGGCACCACAGCTTCTCTGAACTTCGGTCTTTTGGTACCACCGACTGAGAGATTCCTGTTCAGTCGCGAGGCAAGAGTTGTGGTTTAATAAATAGAGAGAACAAAACCAAGCATAAAAAAAAATAAAAAAAACCCTGTGCAGTGATTTTATTTTTGTTGTATATTTGACTGTAATTACTGCCTTAAGTAGTTTAATTGTCTGGCATCTCTTCAAGTGCCTTGCCTGTGGGGAGGGGAGGCAGGCCAGTTTATGGTTTGTTATTAATGAACAAAGCACAAACAAGTTTACCTTGTCTGCAATCAACATTCCCATCAAAACAGATTGAGAAGAAAATGCAAAGGGGTCCGTTCATCCCACAGACTGAACGCTATTGTGTTAATATCTGATCTTTTCATTATGAATGTCATTTATACCTCAGAGGGAAATTGGTGTTTTTATAACGCCCACATGAGAAACACCTGAGACCACCACAAGCAT